GAGGCTGGGCCTGGACCCTGGGTCTGAGGGAGGAGGCTGGGCCTGGGGGAGGGGGACTGGGGCCTGGACCCTGGGCCTGGGGGAGATGGGCCAGAACCCAGGGTCTTAAAAGGATGGATGGATTCTGGGGGTTTGGCCCTCAGATCCCAGGAGATAAAAGGGTGAGGGAAGGGCCAGGCTTGGGGACACGTGAACCACGGAAGCTGACCTCTTCATGACTTTATTTTCAGGGCACCCCTGGGGGACCTTCCATGCAGTTTCAGCTCCCCCAGGAGCAGGGGCAGGGACAGCCGTGTGGCATGGCAGCAGGGCCTGGTCATCACCCCTCACCCCCTCCCTCAGCCCTTCTGCAGACTGCCCAGGTGGGACCCTCCTGCCATCCACCTCCACCCAGGATGCTGCTCCAGGTAGGCCCCATGCCAGCTGACCAGGGCTCTGGGGCACCCCTCCCTGCCTGCCCCTGCTCTGTGCTCTTCCCTTGGAGCCCCCAATGCCCTGGGATGCGACTGTCTGCTTAGGTGTCTGRCTCTCCCACCAGACTGGGTCAGGGGCAACCTCTGCACCACCCAGCTCGTGGCCAGGTACACAGGCAGCCTTATAAGGTGTGGTAGGTGATGTGAATGAACAAGTGAGCCCAGAACTGGCCAGGGAACTGCGATGAGGAAGCACCGGCCTCGAGGACACCCCCACGAAGCTGGRAAGGTACCTGCTTCCCCCAGCAGAGCACACCACCCTCTGTATTCTGCTGCCTTTCTCCCTCAGGGGCACACACAGCTCTTTGATCACAGGTTCTGGCAACTGGGAGTCTGAATGGACTTTCGTTTCAGAAAATAAAGGAAACGTCTTCTTTCCCTTTGCCTTGCTGGGTCTTCCCAGGCTCCAGAGAGTCCCAGAGCCTGCATGAGCAGCAGCAAAGGACAGAAGAGGCCTGGCTGGGGTCCTCCGGACTCTGTTCACCACCCCTGAACTCTCCCGCTGGCCGGGGTCACCCCGTTGTTCTCACTCCTGCCTGCTGTAATAGCTCTCTGATTTCAGGGTGCCTTTTCCCGTCTTCCTCTCCTTGTCTGGGTCATTTTAATTGCCTCTATTCCCTTTCCCTCTTCCCTGGTAAGGGCTTCTGTCCCTGCCTCTGAGCTGAAGTGAGCTCTGTCCAGATCATCAGCCAGGATCACTCAGCAAACCTACTGGTCACTTGCCCCCAGATCTTCTCCGATTCCGCAGCAGCTTCCGCACAGCTGGCCCCTCCTCCTCCATATACGTATGTGTTTTTAAATTGTAGATGGACCTTTATTTTATGTATTTATTTGCAGCGCTGAGAACCAAACCCAGAGCCTTCCATATACCAGGCAAGCGCTCCACCACGGAGCCAAACCCCAGCCCCCTCCTCCTCCTCTTGAAATGCTTGTGCTTAGGCCCTCAAGGACTCTCCTGCTTCTTGCCAGCCTCCGGTCACTCCTTGGCTCCCTTTGCTACCTGCTCTTCTCCCCCAGTGTAGATGTCCCCCCAAGACTCTTGCCAGGGTCACTCTACCTGCACGCAGCTGCTAAGTTACCATCCCATTCTGTGGCTTTCCATGCCTCCATCTGCTGACGTTTCCAAGACTTGTATTTCCAGCCACGATCTTTTAACCACTCCTATCTGATGTCTCCAACTGGTTGCTCCATACTCGGACTTGGACTTCCCAAAGGCATCCCCACCTGACACATCCCTACGACGACCCTGGATTCCTACCACCAAACCCTGCCTCCCCCTTCCTGGCCGCAGCACCCAACCGGAGAATCCTCTCTCCCCTTCCCTGGGCTTCATTGCCTCCCTGTACAGCCGGCTTGCCACCACTGTAGGCATCACCTCCAAAATCCCAACCCCTGCTTCTGCTTTTGACCTCCCAAGTCTATTCCCAGCACAACACCACAATTCTGTTATTGTTTTGTTTAAACAAAAATATGATCCCAGCATGCCTGTGCTCAGAGCTCCCCAAGGCTTCTCATCAAACCCAGAATAAAGTTCAAATTCCTTCCCAGGCTACAAGGCCTGAGCTGCCCTCTGCACTTGGGACTTCTTAACCCAGTCAACTAGCCCTTGTTTATTCTGCTCACAAAGGCCTCCTTGGAAATCTGGTTTTACTCAGGCTTCTTCTGCCACCTTTGGTGGCCAGGGTTCCTGATCCGAGCCCTTCTCTCCTCCCCTGCCCTCTCAGAATGCATATTTCTGTTCAAACATTACTTGGCGGTCAGGACCTCTTGACGCAGCTTATCTCGTCACCCTGATCTGTCATCCTGCTTCACTTCTGAAGCACCCTTCAGTGTGTATTGCACGTGCCTCCTGGGAGCCCGAGAGCAGGCCCTTGTCAGCTCACCACCATACCCTGTGGGCCTAGCCTGGGCCTTGAACAGGTCAGCGCTCGGCAATTCTCCAATACTGTGAAGGCTTGCGCATCTTGTTTTCAGTTTCTCCCTCTCGGAATCTCCTAAGTCTTCGCCTTTCCCATCTCTAGGACTCACCTGTTTTGGGTCTCTTCTGCACCCCCCATCTCACTCTTCCTGCGGCCCACCCATCTCACTCTTCCTGTGGCCCACCCTCCACCTTTCTTGCTGTTTGGCCTTTGGATTGCAGAATCCATCATCCCCTAGCCAGTTCTGTCCTCCCCATCAGTCATCCCCTTGAATGCACCTCTCCCTGGCCCTCTCCTCACCTCCCCGCCCCTCTTCTCTCCATGCATCAGACTAAGTCCTATCTAGTCTCACTGACTCGTATCCTCTCTACATTTTCCAGCATCTCCTTCCTGAAACCACCATCACAGAATTCCTCCCAGGCTCGCCCACTCCAGCCTCCCCTGCCCCCACTTCTAACTCTTCCACACAGGCCCCAAAGCAAATTTCTAATGCCCACTCTGATCCCCTCCCTCCTCGGTCCCACTTCTGATGTCTCCGATTCCCAAGGTCACCCTGACCTCATGGTACCTCACTAACCAGGTCCTGCCTTGTGCAACTGAGCCCTGGCTCTCTCCCCACCAGACTGGGAGCCCCCGGAGCACAGGACACGGGATGGGAAGTTCCCTACACCCAGCATCACAGGAAATACTTGCTGAGCAAATGAAGGGAAATGAAGCACCCTGCCCTCTCGGTGACCTTCAACTCCATCCCTTCCTCGGCACACCCACTTCCTTTACCCCCCTCAACTGTCATCTCCACTGCTCTTAGGAAGCCTCCGGCTGGTCTGCGACTCAGGCACTGTTAGRCCCTGGCTTATAGGCCCTTCCCCGCCTGACCTCTTCCTCGACCCTGGATTTCAGCATCCCAGAGGCGTCAGCACTTTTCCCAAAACATCACGCTGCTCCCCTGCCCTGGGCTTCTGCCCCAGCTGTTCTTGCCCAGAAAGCCTTCCTTGTCCCCTTCATCACCTAGGAGACACGTGCTTCTTTGAAGACCCAGACTGGGCATCACATTCCAGGGAGTCTTCCCTGCCCACACCTGGCCACCCTGTCCTCCGTGTTCCACGGGGCCCATCGTGGTCCCAGTCACCACGCTCGCTTCCCTGCCTGGGTTGTGCTTCCTGACAGTGCTCAGCTCCTGGGGAAGAGTGAGGGGTCTGTTGCACCTCTGGGGTCCCTAACTTCCTGCCTGGGACCAGAGCACATGCACCCGAATGCCAGCRGCTGGAGAAAACAGTGAAACCTGGATTGCTGTCTGATTCTCCTGCACACGACACCATGCCTGTGCTGCAGCATGTGTGACTGCGTCCTCTCTGCCACCAGCACGGGCTTGGAGGACCAGTGACTATGTGATGCCGTATTTTAGTTGCCTCTGCTCCGTACTCGGCTAGGCTCCTGCCTTTCCTTTATGCACCATTCATGCTGTGCTCCTGCTGAAAGCCATCCACAGCCCCCTATGAATAAAACCCAACCTACAAGTCCCTGCACAATCTGGTCCTGTCTCCAGGCTCCTCTGTCCACCTGGCTCACTACACTTCAGCATACTGTGCAAGCTCCTTTCTGCCCTAGGGCCTTGGCATATGCTGTTCTCTTCCTGGGACACATGGCCCCAGCTCCATTGGGCTGTCTCCTTGTCATCCTTTCAATGTCTACTAAAACTTAAACTGGGTTAGCCCCCTCCCTCACAGAGCATTTTGGAGGATCTCGGGTTTCTCCTACCTCCTAACTGTAATCTCTTGTATGTGTACATAATTCTCGGATTAATGTCTGTCTCAGGTGCAAGATGCAACTCTGAAGATGTCCCGGACCCTGACTGTTTTCCTCCCTCTGTATGCTCAGCATTCAGCACAATGCCTGGCAGTTAAGCACACACATTGCCAGTAATGAATGAATGAGTAACTCTCTGCGCCTGCCTTTATGCCCCTTCCCCAGTGCCTTCCTGTGTGTCAGCACCTGCCACACAGCAGGTGCGTAATAAGCCCTTGTGGAAAGATGAATGGAAAAGTGAACGAACACCTGCGTCCATCTCTAGTCACTTGCCTTTCCGAGTCCCTTCTCTTGACCTCTCCCTTTATGTAGAGCTTATATATAGTATGTAGGTGTAACTCGTGTGCTATGGGCCCCTCTCCAGGAGTTGGGCTGGGCTGGGAGTCCCTCCCTCCCCTCCCCCCCGCCCCGCCCCCACATGCACACAGCAAAACATTAAAAAGAAAACATCTCAAAACTGCAAAAAACACCACGGCCCTACCCCCGCCCCCTAAATCCCACAAAAAAATAAAACACGACGCTCCCTCAGCAGAGCCCCCTCCCTGCTTCACCCCTCCCCTGGGGTCCCTTTGGCGGTTGAGGGGGCTCCCCGACGCCCGGGGCCGGGGAGGGGCGCAGGGGGAAGGCCACGCAGTCTCCAGCGCGCTCTCGGGGAAGAGCGAGGCGCCCCGACCCGGCAGCCTCGTTGCACGCGCGCCCGCGCACGCGCCCGGGACACGCCCCGCTCCCCGCGCGCCCCTACACGGGCGTGGTTTTCCTGTTGAGCGTGTTGGTGTTGGAGGCGGCGGCCTCCTTGGCCAGGGTCCCGGGGGCGGGGGCGGCGGGCGCAGGCGGCGCGGGCGCGGGCGCGGCGGGCGGCCCGGTGACCGTGACCGTGACGCCGCCGCCCGCCTCCTTGGGGAAGGCGTTGTGCAGCGTGAGGAAGCCGGGCGCACCCCCGCGGTCCCGYTCGGCGCCCGTCCCGCCGCCGCCCCCGGCGCCCCCGGCCGCGCCGCTGTACGCGCCCGCGCCGCCGCCGCCGCCGGCCCCCGCCAACCCCGCGGCCACGCTGCCCTTGGACGGGTCGCGGCTGAGCGTGTACATGGAGATGTCCGTGGAGGCGAAGCCCGGGCCGCCGGGAGACGCGTCCCGCGACGGCGACGGCTCGCTGGAGCGGGAGCTGGAGCGGGAGCGGCGGCGGTAGCGGAAGCGGTAACTGGGCAGACGGAGGATGGCCGAGGGGCCGCTCCCGCCACTGCCGCCCGCGCCCCCGCCGGCCTTGAGCAGGTCCGAGCGAGACTGGCAGTGCGCCTCGCGGCTGCGCTCGATGTAGATGTTGACGGCCAGCACGCCGATCACCTCGGCCAGGATGAAGGACAGCCCGCCGAAGTAGAAGGACCAGCCGTACGAGTAGTGGTTCTTCTTCTCCTCATCCCGCTTCGGGCCCGGCTCGCCCGCGTTGGCAGAGATGTACACGATCACTCCGATGATGTTGCTCAGGCCTGGGCGGGGACAGTTAGAGGGGAGCCTCCAGGCCACCCGGGCCCGGGCCCGCCCCTCCCTGCCCCGCCCCGCAGTCCAGGCCTTGCCCCGGGAGGGCTAAGCTCCACCCAGGGAGTTAGGCCCCGCCCCACCGGACGAACCTCGACTCAGGACCTAGGCCCCAAACCCCCCCCCCCTCCACATGGAATGGGACAGACAGGACTCTGGATGGTCTAAGCTCCACTCGGTGGCCTAGACTCCGCCCCTGCTAGCCCAAGCTCCTGCTGCACTGTTCTGATGGTCCAAACACTATTCTTGATGAGACAGTCACAGCCTGGGTTTCCAGGTCCTTTCTTGGTTGATTTAATTTATAAACTCAGTCTCCGCCGTCTGTCCTTTGAATAAAACGATGTGATCTCTCTAGGTCCTGTCTACTGCTGATCTACACTCTCCAGCCTGGGTATTTACTCCAGGCGCTCCCCTGATGTTTTAAAATTTGATAAATCAGGTTCCCTTTCAACTCTAGGTCCCGCCTCCAGTTTGTCAAACCCCGCCCCCTGTGGGTCTAGGCAAAGCTCCTCCACACCCCTCTCAGGCCTAACTAGCTCCAAATTCCAGATCCTCCAGATCTTCCCTTGCAGATTTAGACCCAACCCCATGCATACCCTGCTCTTTAAATATGCTAAATCCTCCCTCTTCTCCTTATCCTACCCCTTCAAACGACTCTGCCCCTGGAATTTCCCAGCTGTACTCTTGCAGAGTAGAAAGGGAAGGGGGGGTCTTACTCCTAATAACATGCCTCTCAAGGAGTTGGTCTAAGCGCCCTAAATCACCCAGGTTAATAATGCCCTTAATGACATAATCCCTCCCATTTTGAATTTTCCAGGCACCGCCCAATCTTTTTAGCCCCTCCTCCACCCTGTTTTACTGGCCTAGCCCCTTCAGCCTTCATCTCTACACGGTTTCTCAGAACCACCCCCTTCTTGGCTAATCTACTAAGCAGGCTGCTCACCGTCCTCCAGCAAATCACGTTTTCCCTCTTCTGGCCCCTCCCTTCGGTGGCCAGCCCCGCCCCTCTAACCCTAATACCTCAAGCCCATCTCAAGGTCCCACCCCCTTTCCAAAGCTCCTCCCCTCCCGCCTCCAGAACGGCGGGCTTTGGAACCTAAGCTCCTAGCATCCTCGGTTACGCTCCAGACACTGGTCTGTGCCCAAGAAGAGTACACCTACCTTACCCAGCGGGAGGCGATGGAGCTTGGGAAGAGCCTAGAAAGGCTTCGGGCTCCAGGGGGCGCTCGGGGTAGGGTCGTTTTGCAGGCAGACCCGCGCACACACTCGCGCGCGCGCTCGCGGGGACCGCTCCAGCCCGCCGCCCCTTCCCTCTGCCTCTCACCTGCTGCCACGAACAGGATCCCGGCTCCCAGAATGATGTTCCTCTTGGACTTGTAGACGCGGGAGGCCGCCACGCACACGCCCCCGAGCAGCAGCAGGATGGCGCTCAGGATGGGGAAGATGCTGGAGGCCCGGACAACTCCTGCGGGGAGGAAGAAAGGAAAGGAGGGAGGAAGGGAGCGAGGGCGGTCAGACGGGCCGCCTGCGCTCCCCGGCCCGCGGCGCCTCCTGCCTGCCTTGGCCACTGTTTCTTTCTGGGTCTAGTTCTCTAATTCTGCCTCTCTGCCTGTAATCCTTTCTTTTTTCTTTCATCTATTCTCCCGCCTGTTTTTAAAAAATTTCTCCATATATATGTCTGATTTCCTCTCGTTTTCTCGTCCTTTTCTTTTTTCCTTGGCCTATGTTTTTCCTCTCCTGTCGTATTATTTTCCTCTTTCTCTAAATCACTCTCCCTCTCTATTCTTCTCTCAGCTTCTCCATTGTTCCTCCCCCATGTCCTTTTTCTTTCTTGGTGTTCCCTGCTACGCGAATCTTCCCTTTCTCCAGATCTTTCAAATGTCTTCGTACTTGTCTACACCCCTTCTCTCCCCTCCCTCCTCCTCCCTTTTCTGCCAGGCGTCATCTCTTTCTGAGTTTCTCCAGCACCCCCCCCCTCCCCGCGACTTCTGCCTGGCTTCATTCAACCTTTCTGGGTCGCTCGCTCTCCCTCCCCTCTTCCTTCCCTGGCCTCTCCTCTTCCCCACCCCCATCCATCTCTCTCCCCCCATCTGTCTTTCTCCCTCTCTATCTCTCTGCAGTCCTTTTCATCCACCTCTAAAACCCCAGGCAACCAGACTTGGCGATTTCAGAGCCCGGCTAAGGCTGCAGCCAATCGTCACCCAAGCTTTGCCGCGTTCTCGGGGTGACTACCAATCGCAGCCCAGGCTTCCCCAGCCCGCTCCTGGAGTGGCCCGTCCCTGCCGCGGATTGGTCCACGGCCCGGGCGCGGCGGCCAATCCCAGCCCGAGAGTCGACAGCCCGTCCTAGTGCACAGCTGCCCCGAGTACCCCAGAGAACCGGGCGGCCAATCAGCAGCCGAGATCCCCCCTCGGCCCGCCCCGAGGTGAGAGGAGGGGGCGGGGACCCATCACTAAGCCAATGGGGAGCCAGGGGATCTGAGCGTCTGGCCGCGGATCGGCTGGGAAGCTAACCTACGCGTGTGATCCCAGCGCCGGCCCGGCAGCCCCCTCCCCCCGGCTGTCCCGGACCCCACGTACGGAGCAGATACTCCGCGCTGTCGTGGTCGTAGTCCGTGTCCTCCGGAAAATGGTTGATCTTCACGCAGACGCCTCTTTTCAGCCCTGGAGAAGGGACGGGGGTGGTGGGGGTGGGAACTTCAGAGTTGGGGGCGGGGCGGCCCACAGGGAGAAAGCCCCCCCCTTCCCCAGACCCCTTCTCTCTGGTCTGATGGTGAGACAGAAGTCCTGGCCCTGAGCCGGTGTCGGTATCGGGACAACTTTCAACCTCTCTGGTCTGTTTCCCCACCTGTTAAAAAGGAAACAAAAAAAAACACCCAAAGGCTAATATCTTTCCAAGCACGTACTACAGGCTCCAGGACGTCTGCCCTGTAACCTGGGCTAAGACACTCAACCTGTCTGGCTTTCTCTTTCCCCTCGGAGGAGAAGGGTGTTGGTCTCCACTTTGTCAAGCCGCCCTTGTAACCCTCAACTTGTTGAGAAGTCTGAAAATGCGTGGGAAAACAAGGACTGGACTTCCCCTGAGACCCTGCGTGCGAAGTCCAGTTGCAGGAGGGAGCAGCCCAGTGGGTCGTGGGAGTTTGGTTTCTTCATCCTGTAAAGAGAGGGAGGGATTCCCAGTCTAGCAGAATCTGGACCCTCCAGAGATGGAGTGGCTGAGGAGGGAGTGTAGGACGGCCCTAGGGGTGCTGCAGGCTCTCCTCTCCCTTCCTCCCAGTGTCCTCTCCTCGGATCCTCATCCTCACACCCTCTGGAAACCTATCTGACTTCTTTGGAGACACTGTCTATTTTACAACCTCTAGCACATAGCTGAAGAAAAAAAAAGTATAAGTAAATTTAGATTCCTCAACTCTCCAAGCTCCCTCCAACCTCCAGGCCAGGGAACATTCTGTTCACATTCTCTGCTGATGTAGTACTTACCCTGCAGCTCCTTTAAAAAGCATTCCCTACATGCACGAGCGCGCGCRCACACACACACACACACACACACACAAGTTGGGCCAGTGGCCTCCTCTTGGGTACAACAGCTCCCTGGCTGCCCCCTTTAGGATGTGCTTGGGTTGATTTACAGTCATCCTACTCAAGCTGGGAGTTCCTCAAGGGGAAGGGCCTGGAGTCAGATTCCTTGTCCCTAGCATTGCCTGGTACCCAGAGACCTAGAAGAACAATAGACGGATGAATGAGTGAATGATGGACAGAATAGAAGGAGAGCAGAAGTAGAGAGTAAAGGCAGACCAATACAGGCAAAGAAGAGCCGAAGAAATGGGGGTAAAGAGAAGAATTGGTAAGAAGGAGGACACGGCCGTGAGTAATACCGATAAAAATGAACATTTGCTAAGTGCTTCCTAGGTGGATTAACTCGATAGGTACATAAGAGCCCCTGAGGGCTGGGAGCGTAGTTCAGTGCTAGAGCACTTGCCCAGCGTAGCCCAAGCCCCGGGTTCCATTCCCAGTACCTAGGAATTAAAAAAAAAAAAAAAAAAGAAAGAAAGAAAAAAAAAAAAGATTCCATGAGACATGTTGGTGTCACACAGTCCTACTGCTTTAGCAGGAAGCCTGACTCTTGTTACACTTTCTACCTTGTTGCAATACATAGGCCAACTTTCTGTTCCCTCACCCATAAAAAGCAGAAAATGGGACCTATGTCCAGGTTGATGTGAGGATTTGGTCTAGACCAGGAGAGGTAACTGATGTTTTGCAGCCATTGTCCAGACATAGAAACCTGGGCACTGCATGGCTCATTAGCCCAGGACTGATGGGTGGAGGAAGCAGAACTCACACACACACCTCTGGGCTGTTCACCACTGTGTTCACAGCATCCAGGACAATACCTAGCACATAGTAAGTGCTCAATAACTGTTTTTAATGAAAAGAATGATTGAATGGGCCAAGAAGCAGAAAAATCACTATACATTAGAGAAATTCAATCCAAACCACAAGGAGATACCATTTTATACCCAGTGGGAAGGCTGCTACAGAAAATAAAATTATAAGTGCTGGCAAAGATGTGGAGAAATGGGGACCTTTGTGAGCTGTTGGTACAGAGGTTCCTCAAAAGTTGAAACAGAATTACCAGATGACTCAGCAGTTCCACCCTGGGTACACCCTGAAGAACTAAGCAAGAACTCAAAGGGATATTTACACCCTGTTTTCATCGCAGTATTATCAGATAGCCAAAAAGTGGAAAAGACTCAAACGTCCATTGACAGATGAATGGATAAGACAAACACAATGTGATGTATACACGCCGTGGAATATCACTCTGCCTTTCCAAGGAAGGGGGTATGAAACACACCATAACACCGATGAATCTTGAGGACATGGTGCTATGTGAATCAAGCCAGTCACAGAGAGACAGATTCTGCATGATTATATGAGGCACCTGGAGCTTCCGGCATCCGATTCATCAAGACAGACAGTAGATGGTAGTTGGAGGGTGGGCGAAGGGACTGAGTTTCAGTTTGGCAGAAGAAAACACTTCTGGAGGTTGGTTGTCCAATGTGAATGTACTTAACATTACTGAAAATTATTAAGATGGTAAATTTAGGTCATGCATATTGTACCCCAACTTTAAAAAGAGAAGGTGAATGGACGTACATGAGCTGGGCCTGAAACCATGCACAGGACGCACAGTGCTGCCTAGCACCTAGCCCCAGTGGCTACCAGGCAGCTTGGGGCAGGAGCCACATGTCACTCGTTACCTAGGACCAGCCCCAGGAGGAAGACAGCGGCGGGATCCTTGCTTCACATTTGGGGAAACTGAGGCAAGACAGCTCTAGAAGTCAGCCTGTCTGCAGCGGACACTCCTGGAGGAAGCCGAGCAGCCCTGGTTTCCGAGCTGGGCCTGTGTGGACCATAGACCACGGTGGCTGCCCGGGCTCTGGGGGCAAGTCCTCCACACTCAGCCTCAGAGTTGTGGCTTCCCAGCTGTGTTGCTTTAGGAACCCAAATGTCCCTGAGATGGCATGGTGGTTACAGCACAGGCCTCTGTCTGCCGGCTGGCCCACACGGAGGTGGGGCTGGGAAGCGTGGGTTCAGGGGTCCCGCGGCTTCCTGCTCGGACCAACCAGGGGACCCTCTTGGTGAGATAGTGCGTAGCCATGCTCAGCACGCGTGGGGGAGGGAGGTTGGATTGGGTGGGTCCGGCCTCCTGGGTCCTGAGCAGAGCCGAGGGGGGAGCCTAGACTCTGGAGGACCCACTGACAGAGCCGCTGGTATGACCACCAGCCCTACAGGTGGCAACCGCCACCCGCGGGCGGGGAACACACGGGCTCCAGGCTGCACGTGGAGAGAGCATGTGCGATAGATACTTCACGAGTCATTTTTTGGTGTATAGATTCCATGTTCAAATGACATTCGGGCCATGCTGGGTTAAACTATCGAGTTCACCTATTTAGTTTTATTTGTTTTAATGTCACTACTAGATATTTGAAAATATGTGGCCGTTGTTACATTTCTGTCTGGCCTGGGTGACTAGGAGGAAGGACCCAGGGCTCAGTTGCCTGAATGCCTAGTAGTACTATGAAGAAACCAGCAGAGGCAACAAAATGCCAACCCCATAATCCAGCCCTCCCAGCACCTACCAGCCTGTAAAGTGGCACTCACAGGATCTCTTCCACTGCCTCTCTGACCTGGGGCAGCAGGGCTCCTGTCATCCTACCTCCCCAGTGACAAATGAAGCACAGACAGAAAGGCTAAATACAGCCCAGTGGGTGATACRCACCCGTCATCCCAGGCTGAGGCAAGAGGCCAAGTTAGAGGCCAGTCTCAAGAACCTAGTGAGGCCCTATGCAACTTAGCAAGACCCTGATTTGAAATAAAAAATTAAAAAAGGGCTGGGGATGTGGCTCAGTGATAAAATGCCTCTGGGTTTCATCCCCAGTGAGAGAAAGAGAGGAAAAAAGGAAGGAAAGAAAAGTAGTAGTTAAACACATGGCCCAAGGTCAGAAAGGTTAAATACATGGCCCAAGGTCACACAGCTGCCTATAGCAGACAAAGGTAGATCCATTTGTCTTGTCCAAGAGCTTATGTCTCATACTACTTTCCACTGGGGAGATGAAGACTGAACCCCAAATCCCCAGGGGAAGTGTGTTCAGAGGTCTAGTTTCTCCTCTTCTGGCTTCCTGCTGGGCTGGGTTCCTGGGGGGGGGGGATTTGTTGCTTGTTCTGGGAAACAGAATAGACCTGGACTCCAATCCAGACCCCAAGGGGCATGAGCTATGTGACCTTGGGCAAAGCACTGCACTTCTCGGAGCCCTTGCTTTCTCTTCCAGTTAACAGTAGCTACTTGGCAGGGTTATTATAGCATTCCACGATGAATGATTGACAGTTACAGTGACAACAAAGTCAGCCTTCACCTACCCGTCCTCGACACTTCTAGCCTGGCTGGCGGGCGGGATACCCACTTACCTGGTTTTGCTCACACCTCCTCGGCTTGCTTCTCCCCTCCCTCAGGTTTTGACCCTTCAACTAACGAGTCCATCTCTGAGCCGGCTCCTTCTCCAGGTGACCTCTCCTGCAGCTACAGTGATGACCCTCCCATCCCCACCTCCAGCCTGACCTCTTCCCTGACTCCAGCCTCAGGCACCCGCTGGCCAACAGCCCCGGGGAGGGGCAGCAGATGGAAGCCCTGTGACAAAGGCGGCTGCGAAGGGGTTTGACAATCTGTACGTGATGTGCGGCCCGTGACAGACGAAGATCCCATGACGTGGGGAGACGACATGCAGTGCACATTGCAGTGGCCATWAAGGGACTTTGATTGGGGTGGACACACTCACCTAGTCTCCGGTTATCTTCGGGCACAGTTGTGACAGAGACCGCACGTCCACAGAGCCTAAAATAACTCCCCTGTGGTCTCTCTGTCCTAGGTGCTGACTCTTAGTGGGTATCTTAAATTCAACATGACAAAACCTGAGCCTCGAGGTCCCTCCTTAATAAGGAGATGAAACAAGACACCTGCTGTCCATGTCCTGAGGTGCTCAGGCCAGAGCCTGGGCATGGCGAGGGGGCCGATTTTAACCCAACACCTAGGGACGATTTACAGCTTTGACCAACACACTGGGGAGGGGGCCTTGGACATGCAGTGGGGGAGGCCAGGGAGGCTG